CATTCCAAATAACCTTTTAAGACTCCAGTTGAATCTGTTCACTGTATTACTTCGTATTTATTCAGTTGGCTGCCCTTAAAAAGAGTTTGTTTGTTTAACATAGTTTGCACAGCCCCACAAATCCTGACCTTTGCCTCTCTCATCTCTCACGACCACTGCCTTCTTCTCCCTGCTCCCAAGCTTTAGCCAGGCTGGAATTATTTCAGTTCTTAGAACACGGCTAGGGCTGTATTGGCCTCCAAGCATGCTGTTCTGTCTGCAACTGTCTGTACCTGGCTCAGTCACAGTTCAGCTCAGATGTTTCTTTCTCCCGGGACTTGGTTTGGATCCTTGATTTGCATTCTTAGTGCACTACATGCCTCCCTTTTGGTACACACGTCACACTTGGATCTGATGTGTCTCAAATAGTTTTTCTGTTGCATTGGAAACTCCATGAAGGCAGGTGAAATCCTTTACTCAATGCTCTGTCCTTGCATTTGGAAGAATGTTTGACACATAGTAGCCATCCGTAAATATTTGTTGACTAGAATGAAAAGTGAATGAATAAACAAATGAATGAATTAATGAATGAATGAAGTAGAAGGCAATCTAGTGTATCAAAGAGTCTATGGCAATGGAAATTATTTAAAAAAAATTCAAATGGCATGAAGAATTCAACTATTAAGAGCCAAAAGATTCTTGAGGTTTAATTTTCGGCAGGTTTCAGTAACAGAGTGGAAGCAAAAGCTGGAGAGTTGAAGACTTAGGAATGAATGTTGTTTAAGAAAGTGAACAGAGCACATAAGGTCTGCTCTTATACGAAGTGTGACTCTCAGGGAAGCAGAATAATGGTAAAACTAAGGAGAAGTGATGGCCTGAAGGAGTCTGTCGTTGGCTTGTCTTTTCTCTCAACTATGAACTGGAAAGACTTGGATATTCTCACCAGTTTCTCTACTACTTTCTCCTGCTTTCCTGGTATATCATAGGGGAAAGTTCTATAAATATTCCCTGCTGCAAAATTAAATGAAACACATTTTAAAAGCCTGATTTATGAGATTTTATTTAATATTTTTTTCAATTTTGAAGGAATGAAAATTTTTTAGATTTTCAAACTACCTGAAAATTAAGCTGCTTTCTTGACATTTGTTTATGAAAATGGTCACCACCGTTGTACTGGAGTATGCACACTTTATCCTTACTCAGGCAGTTTGTTTTGACGTTCTCTTTTCCTTTCAGCTACTCTTAAAAATCTGGACTTTGGAATTTCATCTTAAAACTCATATTTTTTAAAAATTGATTTTAGAGAGGGGAAGGGGAAGAGTGAGAAAAACATCGATCTGTTGTTACACTTATTTATGCATTAATTGGTGGACTCTTGTATGTAGCCTGACCAGGGATCGAACCTGAACCTGGGTATTTTAAGATGATGCTCTAACCAACTGAACTGCCCAGCTAGGGCCACTTATATCTTTTTTTTTTTTTTTTTAATCCTCACCCGAGGACATTTTTGCATTTTTTGTTCAGATAGAGCGGGAGGGAGAGAGAGGAAGAGAGAGAGAGAGAAACATCGATGTGAAAGGGACACATCGAGTGGCTGCCACCCGCACGACCAACCAGGGCCTGGGACAAACTGCAACCGAGGTACGCGCCCTTAGCGGGAACCGAACCCGGGTCTCTCTGTACCGCAGGCCGACGCTCTAACCGCTGAGCCAAACCGGTCAGGGCCACTTATATCTCTTTAGGCACAGATTTTGGCGTAACTAGGTGCTAGATCTGACACTAATCATCAGATATATGTATTTGCTTTTACTATGGAAGTTTAGTTCTCAGGCTCCCCTCATAAACACACAGGCACCATTTCTAATTTAAAACCTTCCCTTTAAGACCTGCTGTTGTAAGAAAAGGGCTTTCTCTGTCAGTACCTGTGGGGTGTTTTCCTGAGGTCATTTTACTTGTAGAAAACAAGATTCTTGTGCTTAATTAGCTCCTAGAGTTGAAATGATGGAAACCCCCCCTTACCCGAACAATCAGGCATCCTGGTTATTAATATGAGACCAATAGCTGGGCCATTATTCTCACCATTGCAGTTAATCAATTACTAGTAAGAGAGACAGAACATCCAGTGTATTTGGAGGCTTCTAATCATCAACTTTGAGAATGGCAAACATTTCTCCGAGTTTCTGAGAACACGCACGGCCGCTGTTCACAAAGCCTTGGTCACCCCATTTATTACTTTAATTAGTTTGTTTTTTCCTTAACATGTGACTGTCGTTCCTGCCGCAAGCCACGTATGAAGTGGCAAGCGACCAAGCCGTTTGTGAACTTCCCGCCAGTGCCGAGGAAAAGCACGGAGGGCGAGTTGAGGCAGCGTCTGCATCCCTGGCGGGCCCGCGCGGGACCCACGCGGGTTTCCAGGACACGCTGCGTGCCTGCTGCGCCGTGTAATTTCATCAGCCGAACAGATGAAGAATGCTAATTAGTTTGTTTATACATTTGTGATTTATTGAGACCGAACACTTAGCTGATCTCAAAGTCAGTGCAGCTTGATTCCGGTGGCTGTTTTTAGTTTAATTAGAAACAGTGTTGGGCACGTTTTCTGGAAGTTACAGAACTGTGTGCTAGGAGAGAATCTCAAGGAAGGAGCCTGGGCGGCTGCATCCTGCCGCAGTGAGTTTGAACGGGAAGATGAGAGCAAAAATACTGGGTTTCGGGACAAGAATTGAAATCCATGGTTAATGAGAAGATCAGGCTGATGAAGACTTTATTATCAACTCCGTTATATCAAACTGCTCAATCCAGGACTAAAGTTTTAATATGCACCAGAATAACTTATTTGAGGAAGTAGTTCTCTCCCTTCATTAAATTCAACCTATAATGGGAATTCTGTTTTTTATTGCTTTCATCCCTTTTGAGTACCCTCAAAAAATTCTTACTCTTCTTCCTCTAATTTTTTTTTTTTCTTTTCTAATTCTTGTATATTTTAATATAACTGAAATCATGGCATTCGGTGAATACAGCTCTTCTTCCTGAAAATTAATACAAAATAATGCAATTATAGTTTTTATAAATCAATAGGTATTTCATAATATCTACTACAGTCTCTTTTATGACTTTCATGTTGTGCCAAACTGGATCTGCATAGGCTGCTATATTTGGGGAGATGAGGAAGTAACTTGCCCTTTAGTCAAAATTCTATTTGGATTAAAATGCTTCAGTTAACTTGCTCAGCTTTTTCAACCAGAGGTCAGAAAACTATAGCCTGTGGATCAAAGCCACAGCCTGTTTTTGCGAGTAAAGTTTTATCAAAAGACATCCATGTTGGTTCCTGTGTATATGAGCTACGGCTACTTTGGTGCAGCAATAACACAGCTGAGTCATGGACAGAGACCTGCAAAGCTGAAGATATCTCCTTTCTGACCCTTTACGGAAAGGCCTGCTGACCACTGATCTAAACCACACATGAGGACAGGAGGTAGTGAATAGTGGTCAGGTTATGCTGAGCTGCATTAAAGCCTGAAAAACAAATATTTATGAAATTGAGTTTTCAAAAAATTGCAGTTGAGAGCTTTAAATTTTTAGGTCTTTCTGAATCCAAGTAACCATTCCACCTACTGCCTGTGGGTCACTCAGTAGCCTGCTAAGATAGACAGCTCTCTATTCTATTCGGGCAGAATGTGTTTTCTGCTCATGCATGTGTAAGATTGTCCTTGTACCTCTTGAAGATTCATAAGTTACATGTGATCATGTATTTGGGGTATGATTTTAAGTAATAGAGAATACTGGCAGCTTCTTCTGGCCCGTCAGCATCCACAGTCTTCACCCTTACTTAATATTCGTGAGACCCCAAAGTTTGTCAGATGTTAAATTTAGGTGTCTTATTTGTTTCAGTTCAGAAAATAAGTTGTCCATTGCTCTAAACTTATTAGATAACTTATCTGTGACAAATTGCAAGCTGTTGCCTATACATATTAAAAACATATTAAGAACACATAGATGCCTAGGAAAGGAAAAAAATAATTGAACTTTAGTTCTAAAGACTGAAGTGTGAGGCTCTATCCTGGATGATATAAATACTACCAGCCAATGAGCAGGAGAATTATGTACTTGTTTGCTTTTTAATATAAACTTCTAAGCCATATCTTTAAAATAAACTAATCCTAGCTTCTAAATGAATCCTAGTTTCTAGTATAATTTGGTAATATGAGTTTGGGTTCATGGAAAATGCACTGGAGTGAGATGGACCTCAGTTGCACACAGCTCTGCCACATTTCAAAGGAAAGAAAATAACCTAAACTTCCGAGCATCTGGTTGATTGGGAATAATAACACCTGTGCCATATGGTTGCTATGAGAATTACAGGATTCCTGTGAGGCTTAAATGTAAGACAGAATCCCCAGGCATATAATAGGGGGTAAGTAAATGTAGGTTCTTTTCCATTCTTTTTTGTGTTTTTAATTTTGCAAGAATGATAAAACCATTTAATCAAGATCATTAGCATTGTTGATAAGCCAAACTCACAACCAGACAGTGTTTCAGATCTGGAAACATATGCTTAGGCATCAAATATCTAAATACTTCGGGGTATGTTTGGGAGACAGTGGTTTATGCTATGCTGCTTAATCAGAAATGAAAGCATAGTGAGAATGTAGTAGTATTAACACGTACATTTAGACTTGGCTCTGTCCTAACACCATAGTGTTCCACTTGTGTGTAATCAAAGTAGACCAAATGGGTTATAAAAATGGACATCAGTAGTTTGTGTTAATAAGGACACTGGGGAAAATTATATTCCATTTGAAATATAGTAAAAGCAAGTATTTTACTAGTGGGCTAAAATGCACACATCTTAAAGATCTTTACCAAATGTTCCATCCATTTTACAATTGATGTTTCCGCCAGAATTTGTTTTTTCACTTGAAAATACAAAATGACTGTATGATCTTTGCTTATTCATCCCCGTCTTTTTCTGTTTTCCTAAGTGTAACAAGTCACTCTCTGTTCTCACTTTCTACTGCCCATAGACACTCCAGTCACCAGTGTCCTTGATCTGATCGTGGCTTCTGTCTGTCAGTCCCTCATAAAGAGCACCTCACCAGGACAAGATCCGCAGCAGAGTGAGGCCACCAACACCATGTTCTGTACGAAGCTGAAGGATCTCAAGATCACAGGGGAGTGTCCCTTCTCCTTACTGGCACCAGGGCAGGTTCCTAAAGAGCCGGCAGAGGAGGTAGCCGGAAGCGCAGAGAACTACGAAGCCACTCTGCCCTGTCAGGACGCTCCTGAGAAGAATGTCCAAGGAAGTCTTCCTCAAAGAAAGACCAGTCGGAGCCGGGTCTATCTTCACACTTTGGCAGAGAGCATTTGCAAACTGATTTTCCCCGAGGTGAGGGCTGATCATTGCGGGATTCTACTGATACTTTTTAAATTGTAAAAAAAAATGTTTTTCTAAGGAAAATGTAAACACTTGCTTTCTCACTTTTACAGCTATGATAGATGTTTCCTGGAAACATAAAAACAAAAAACAAAACAAAACAAAAATTCCTTTAAAGCAATCACAGTCTTAAATTGTGTTTATCTTAAAGTGTTTGACATCTTGAATTCTTTTCGAAAGGATCCTGCACTCTGACATCTTCATGACTTTGAGCAACTGCTTAGTCCTTTAGCATCAGCTTTCTTATGTGTAAAATGGAAACAATAACAGTCTCTACATTCTAGAGTTTTAATGAGCATAAAATGCAGTGATCCATACCTGTCGTCATACCATAGATGCCCAGTAGTTGTAAACTGTTATTTTAAAATTAAGTTCCTTGCAGAATAACTTATTTTCTGCCATGTTTTCTTCTTCCAACTCCAGAGAGCATCATGTATCCCTTGATCATTTGTTGAGGTTGGAAAATCTCCCTTTTCGTTCTGGTAGTGAGTTTGAAATCTCTGCTCAAGCCTGGCTTGACCTGCTCCTTCGGGTCAGAGTCATGGGCCTATGATTGCCAATAATATCTGTGTTGCTAGCTCAGACATCCCTTGAAATAGCTCTGAGAGCTGCATAGCCTAATGCCATGTTGAGATAGGGAGCACCTTCTGTTAACCTTCCTGTAAGAGAACCCTGGGAATACGGCTTGTACCTAATTAGGTCAGATATCTTAGGAATAGAAGGGACATGGAGAAAGCTCCTCTTCCCCTGAAGGCTACAGGAAACAGCAGATGAAAGTCTCCATGATGTCTTTCTCCTTCCATCAGTGTTCAGCTTTATAGAAACTCACTTAACCTATGAGATTGGACATTGTTATAATTAGACTCCAACTATCATAATCCACTGGTAATATTAATTGACTCAACACCAAAGCACTGAAGAACCACAGAGTTGCTGACTTTTAAAACTAAAAGGAACTTCAGAGGTAATCTTGTTTCACTCCCAAGGACTAGGGGAGCTAAGTAACTTGGCCAAAGTCACACAGCTTTAAGGGTAGAGCAATGTCTGCTGTCAAACAATATGGGCTCGAATGACTAAGAAAGAAGAGGATTGAATTGAAGCTTGCAGCATGGATAAATTAGAATCAGCAGAAAACTGAAAGAGCTAATTTCAAATATACTATCACCACAAAAGTACTTTGGTTAATAGCCTTTGAAATAGAAGTATTTCATTATTTTCACCCTACTTGAGTTACTAGACAGCCAGCTTTGGCTGGGATAAGGCAGGTAGCCCTTGTCAGGGAGTTGGTTGGCATCACTGTCTGGGAAGTGGTTGGTACTCTCATTTCCCAGAACAGAGTGAGGTGTTTAGGGAGAAACAGATGGGGGTGATGAGGAAGCTCGAGAGCCTCTATGCTTCTCCTGAGTCTTGTCATTATCATGTTGGCTTTGTTATTTTGTTTGATAGATTTCGAATTCCTAAAGTAAAAGTTAGACACATGTTAAAACATTCCAAGTGCCAATAGAAATGATGTTTTACTTTTTTTTTCTTTTTTCTGTTTGGAAGAATCTCATAGGAGTGGCATTAAGGTTTGGCTACGCTGTCATGTAGCAGACAGAGAAGGCAAGGCTATAAGAATTCTAAGAGGGGGAAGGGGTATTATTGACTAGAATCCCTTTGTGACAACTGAGGCCATTTTCCTTTTAAGCGTAAATGTCCTAATGTTGGATATATTTGGACTGTGTCATAATTATCTAGACGATTTTATCAACTGTATCCAGTGTCTAAACATCTGCATGTCTTTAATTAAATAGCACTTTTAAAAATTTTTAAGTAGACACTTAATTCTTATCATTCTATTTAGTTTCAGTTCTGTTAGTAACCCAAAGGAAGAGACTCAAAATACCATTTGACAGCATCATAGTTCTCATTTTAGAGGATTAATTTTCACTCCCTAATTTATGTTTTTATGGGGAGGGTGCTTTAAAATTCATCATCCTCAACATATTTAAAGTAGGAGGTGCATTCCAAAGTAGTGGAATAGTAGAGCTTAAAAAGAGTTCGTATTCTTTTTTAAAAGGCCTTATTGACCATCTAATACAATTTTTTCATTTCTGTGTGAAGAAATAAAGGCACATAATGTTAGGGCACTGGCTTTACATAAAAGAAATGACTGGAAAGATGGAAAGGTCTGTGCATCTCATTCATAATTCATTGCTCTCTCTATTGTAACAGCGTTTGCTCATTTTCACGGGTGTCGCTCCCTGAACACCCTGCAAGCTCTTCAGGCACAGTGTCGTCAGGAGCTTGCAGTGTGAGAGAGCCACAGTGGTGACCCTGCAGAACCCTCTTACTGAATTGAATCATATGAATCAGATATGCCTAAATAGATGACATTTCCCCAAATCAAAGATCTCGCGAGACTAAGAGAATCTGAGGAGCATCATAAAGTCTAAATGTGTTTCAACATACTGGGTTATAAGAAGGAAAAACAAAAACAAGAAAACAGAACTATAACTTATCCTATAAACAGAAATATCTTTAGTTTAGAAAATTATGGAAAACTGCAGAAGAATTGAACATCAACTGAAATAGTTAAACCATACCAATGAAATTCCCTTCAGTGTTCACAGAAATAGTACATCAGATAGCAGTTGTACCTGAAGTATTTATAGACGGTCTCTTTGTCAGAAAAGCACGAGTCTTAACAACGAATACATATCTATCCTTTGTCAAGTCGAAAATAATTGTTAAGTGAAGAGAAACAAACTTGAGGTCAACACTTGACTGACTTTTGGGGACAGGTGCTCCCTCTGTAAATCAGAAGTTCCATGATCCACAGCCCTTCAGGGTCAAAGGATGCTGGGTATAAGCAGGGCCTATTTTTCTAAAACTCAAGATGGAGGTTTTCCCAAGTGAAAGGGAGTTGAATGCCAGTCAATTAAAAAGCTGCAGAAGACTAATGCATAGTATTTGTGCATTTTAAGTTGTAGGGAATTAATTTCGGAGGAAATGTTAGAGTTAGTCCTAAAATACCATACTGGACTAAAAAATCAATATATACAATTGCTGGGATGTGTAGCATCTTGCTGACCTTCCTAGAGTCTTGTGGTGGCTGTGACCAGTCTCACTTCAGGTTGAGTCCTGCCTGTGACTTGACTGTGGGCTTGTGTCTTCCTAGGGTCTAGGTCAGGGTGTATCACAGGCGCTCCAGTGCCAAGGCAGGAAACCAGGCACCGGCAGCCTTTACCAAGAAATGTTTTGCCAAAAAGTCTTGCGAGTTGGTTTTCTTTTGTTACGTTTGTTAACTTATAACCATTTTCCAGAAAAGAAATAGCATATTATGAAAACGGTTACAAAAGTCTGTTAAACTCCTAACATCGCTAGCACATGCTACTGAAGCTTTGCTAGACTGTAATACCTTTTTCTTTAGAAAAACAAATTCTGATTCTAAATGGAAAGTGGAGAATACATGTGTTCCACCAACCCCAGGAATGGAGAGAGGAACCCTTCCTCTTCCCCTCCCACCATGACAGCATTTGCGGTACATGGAAAGGACTAGAAAAGGAAGTTACTGGTAAGAGTGGATGGAAGAGAATGGAAGGCCAAGAAAGATCTGGACTGAAAAGGGTAGAAGAGCGTGATGGTTTCATCCGAAAGGTACAGGGGGAGGATGATGTCTCCACTAGCATTTGTGAAGAGAAAGAAATCATTCCTTTTTTAAAAAACAAATTGTTTTTGAAGTCGCAGTTTACTTTCAGTATTATTTTGTATTGATTTGAGGTGTACAGCGTAAGAAGGAAACGTTTTCAGTGGCAGAATTGGATGGGTTTTCTTTCCTCATTGCCCATCAAGTTTCTGGTCAGAGCAATGATTTCTATATAAGCAAATATAATTCAAATTATTCTACATTGGAAACAATCTAAATGTATTTGGAAGTAAGCTAAAAGGGTAACACCTCTGTACTTGACTCTGTTGCTTCATGAATATAATTTTGTAGATTAAGCCCTCATGACTTTGAATTGCTGGCGGGGGAGTGCCATTCATTCATTCATTCATTCATTCATTCATTCCATCCATCCATATGTACTGAGCATCTCCTATGGCCATGCACGTACTAGGTGCTGGACATATAGTGATGAACAAAGCAGAAATTCTCTGCCCTTTTGGAGACTCTACTCTAGTGAAGGAGAAATAATAATAATAAAGGGAGGCAGCAAATGCATGAAGGAAAACTAAGAGCTCATGTACAAAGGCAATGACCTTCATTTTATTGATAAGACGTTTGCCCATCTTATTCTGTTTTGCAAGAAGAAGGAACTTACAGCAACCCATGCTCTCAGAGTTTTAATCCACCTGAGTATGTTGGTGTGAATAACGCCAGGGTAACTTTCTACAAAGTAAAAGGCCCTTGAGGAATTAAAGTTTTTCAAACACCCTGGTTGATCCAGTTCATTTACAGTCTTCTATTTAACGTTCCCCTTTCCTCAACATAAAAGACTGCAGAGAAACATATGCATGTTTTCCCTTCCTAACGCATTCCTCATCCTCCAGGCATCCTGCCCTTTGCCATCATATAGGTCCCCAGGACCCTACTTCAAATCTGCCCACCGGACAAGTCTGCCGCCTTTCCTTCAGCCTGAGGCAGACGCGTCCTCCCTCTCTTCATCGGAGCAGTCAGGAAGGTTGTTCTACATTGTAAATTTAAGTTTCTTTTATTTCTTTTCAGCACTTGCATTTTTTTTTCCTAATAAACTTCAATATTTTTTTCCTAAGCTCTCTAAAACACATTAAAACGGAAAGTCCCTTTTGTAACTTATTTTATTAAAACAGAAGCTTGGTCTATTTTGTCGAACTTCACTGCCTCCCTTGACCAGTGGAAACTCTAAGAGAGATATAAATAGTGCTTAAGGAGAAAGGAATTTCCCAACTTGGAACATAGCCAGAAAATTCTTCACTTTCCTCTGGGTAAACTACAGAAAGACTCAAAGGTCATATATACCCATGTAGATACAGATGCTTTTTACATGGAGAGCAAAAAAATTGGCCTCATTACTTACCAATGTTCCCTTTCCCCTTATTAACTAGAGACAAAAAGCTGTTAAGAAAAATTAGTAGCTAGTCAACAAGTATTTATATGTATATATATTTTCTTTATTGATTTGAGAGGGAGAGAGAGATATAAACATCAATGAGAGAGAACATGGATTGGCTGCCTCCTGCATGCCCCCCACTGGGGATCTGGCCCACAACCTGGGCATGTGCCCTGACTGGGAATCGAACTGGCAACCTCTTGGTGCATGGGTTGATGTTCAACCACTGATCCACACCAGCCAGGTGATAGTCAGCAAGTATTTAAAAGTATGGACGCTTATGTGCAATATCTTGCTGTATAAGAAAAGTCATGAAATCAATAAAAGAGTAGAACTATAAGTGTTTGGTGAAGATTATCAGCTCCAAGAAAGAAAATTAGTACACATGGGGGGAAATCCAAGATTTGTTTCAAATCTGTGGTCAACTTTATCTTGGTGACAGATTGGATGTAAGGGGTGAAAGAGAGGGAAAAAGCGCCAGAGTTTTCTAGACCAGGAGATGTAAATGGTACATGAAACAGAAACATGCATTGGAGTTAAGGATGGAAAGTCACTGGTGTAGCTGGGTGTGAACACTAGGGCTTGGCTTGGCTGGAGCCGCACTCACATTGAGCATTTGCAACACATCCAGGGGGGTATCCTGACCCAGCGGAAGTGATGTCCAGGATTCCTTCACGGAAGACCTGCCTTACCACACCGGAGTCTTCTCTTTGGATTCCAGCTCCCCTTGACCTTGTCCTGGGGCTGTCAGTGAGACTGCCCACCGAGGGCAAAGCCAGTGGTCCATGACCCACATCCAGACTCAAATGAGTTTGAGCTCAGTGTTTCCTCCCCAGTGTGGAAACCCCATGGAAAATCAGCTCCACTCTCCAAAGTGTAAATGCATGACACTAATTATCTGCTTCCTCACAGGAAACTTCCAGGATACATTTTTTAAATACATCGTAAATTATTATTTCAGGGAATGTCTACGACTTTTCTTTTCAATTTTCAGGTCGAGCGGCTGAACCTTGCACTTCAGAGAGCACTGGCAAGACACAAAATAAAAGAAAGCAGGTAAACAGAACCGTTTCTTTTGCACGAACTTCTCATCACCGTCACCGCTACCTCTGCTGATAACCCATTTTCTGAAAGGATCCGCGTATTTCGCATCATGGTGGTATGCCAAAAACTGAGCGGAGTGTTTTAGCTGCACTTCCGAAAAGAAGTGCATTTCTCTTTCGCATTCTATGCATCACTAAGCTCACGTTTAGAGAAAATGTTCAGGATTTTCCGGGGGTTCAGGAAAAGGCAGAACTGAGCTCCCACGGGTCTCTTCTTTCCTACTAAGGGGTCATTTCTAAAATACCCAGCAGGTAAGGCATGGACACCAAACACTCAGTGCACACTCCTTGCCTGAACGATACTGCTGACAGGTTGGAGCAAGGTTCCAGTGCCCCTCCGCCCCCACTTCTGCCCCCTCCCCCAGGTTAGACTTTTAGGTGCTGCATCAGGAAGAGAGGAAGTGGAAGGGGGTGACTTGGGGGGCTTGTGCACTGGCTGAATATCAGTTCTGTTTACACTTTTTTTTCTTGTACTGTGTCTTTGAAATTTTCTTTAAGCTCGCTTTCTGCAGAGGCTTCATACATAAGGTGATTTTTTAAAATAATCTGATTGATATAGTTCATTTTTCAACTGTATCTCGGCACACTTACTGTGGGCAGATAGCTTGATTTGGCCTTGTTTTTGATTCCCTGAAATGCCGAGGATTACTCTATCTGCAAATGATAGAATGAATTCTTGAGTTCAAATGTACAGAATTGAGCACTGAAGTGTTGCACACCAATAGCACTGTCAGAGATAGTTTGTAAATCCATTCATCTCCCTACTACTCATGAGTGAATTATCTGTTCTGTGGATTATCTGCGCCTAATTTTTCTTGCTGTCTCACTGGCCCCAGACTGCAGGCAGCAGGCTGCCAAGAAGAGGTCACAGGCGGGTGCAGAAGGAGAGAGTGCGAATCCCCGTGTCTGACAGGAGCTATGTTTACAGGAGAGATACACAGAGCATTCCAGGAGGCCTCTGACCTCCATTCCCAGTCAAGCTGATAAGATGGCCACAAGTCATCATGGCTCTGCTACTGTGTCTGTCTGCTGAGGTCCTTGGCAGCCAGTTGACGCGGAATTTATTCTCAGGGCTTTGTGCTCTGAATGTTCCTAAGCTAGATGCGGACATTCCATCCGGATGTGTTCCCAGCAGTGTATCTCTTTTTAAAAAAAATCTCAAAACGTAACAGAAATACATATTTTATTTGGAAATCTTGAAAAATCTTTAACCCCTTCCCTGACCTCTCATAGAGCGGATCATACTTTTACGTTGTCCTAGTGGTAATTATTCAGTTACTGGAATAAGAGGAGGGCCTTTTATTTTTTTACTCCTGAGAGTGCATGTTGACATGCCTAATGGCTTCTCTCTGCTTTGCCTTTTTATTTTATTTTTATTTTTTTATCCTCACCCGAGGACATTTTTGCATTTATCTTCAAGATAGAGTGGGAGGGAGAGAGAAACATCGATGCGAGAGAGACACGTCAACTGGTTGCCACCCACACGACCCCAACCAGGGCTGGGCACAAACTGCAACCAAGGTACATGCCCTTACAAGAACCAAACCCTGGACTCTCTGGTCCGTGGGCTGATGCTCTAACCACTGAACCAAGTCAGCCAGGGCTCTGCTTTGCCTTTTTAAATTGTTGGGTAGGCTCCTCATTTCTGGTCTCCCCCCACAGCATCTTTTTGGCAAAAGGGAACTGCCATTTCTGTTGCTCTCATTTTGCCAACTGCTGAACACACCTGACTGCCTTTTGCAGATAGTTTATTGTCTTATGTGACTTGAAAAGCAAAACACCAATATATTAAATAATAAACTGTTTCTAACAGGAGGACACAACTTCCCACCCATCACCATCTTTTATTTTGTTAATCCTCACCCGAGGATAGTTTTCCATTGAGTTTTAGAGAGAGGGAGGGAGGGAGAGGGAGAGGGAGACAGAGAGAGAGAAAAACATCTATGTGACATCAATTGGTTGCTTCCCACAGGACCCCAACTGGGGCTGGAGATCGAACCTGTAACCCAGGTATGTGCCCTGGACCAGAATCAAACCTGAGACCTTTTGGTCCATAGGCTGACACTCTAACCGCTGAGCCAAACAGGCCTGGGCCCACCACCTGTTTTTTAAGTGAATGAGTGTTAGTAGAACCATTCTGGTATCTCCCTGGGTGGGTTGCATATAGAGCTTTGTTTTGTTTATTTTTCTATGACCTTTTGTTCATGTCATCGATATTTATGAACTCATGCCTTGTATGTGTATGTACAAAACACACGCACACACACATTTGCTGGTGTACATACATGCTTATACCTCCTTTTTTAAAGATAAAGATATACAACTTATTCTGAATGGCACTATGCGCTGTTTGGACTCACTTTGCTAGAGTATCATGTCAGGTGCTGGGAATTGGCAGAATTATAGTTCTCTGAGCACATTTGCTCTCATGCTTTAGAAAAAGAGTAGAAGTTGGTTAAATGACAAAAAGAAGCAAATTAAAGATTGATTAATACAAAACTATATATATCAAGGGAAAGTAGACTAGACTTTGGGTGGTGAGCACACAATAGGGTACACAGGTGTTGTATTGTAAGAAGCACTATATGTCAAGGCGTTTGGGGGGTCTCTAAGGTCAAACTAGATAATACCAGTTAGTGCTCCTCAACCCATTAAAATAAGAAAATATTTCCACCTAGTATTTTGAATATTTATAAACACTCTACCTTTATGTGATAAAGTAGTGCACTGAGCAATTTTCCTTCCTGGAAATATTTCCTTTTGTAACTTCTCTACACGTGTCATGTTCTTTGAAATCAGTTAAAATTTGAGATGTGTGCCTGTTTGTAATCTTGGTTTGCCTAATGGCAAACGGAACCACAAACAGAACTTGGATGTCTTTTAATATGCCTCCGTAGTTTGGCAACCCGGCTCATCATCGTTCATCACTATCAGAAATCATCAACAGAAAACTGGGCAGACATGAGTCAGCAAGTTTTCCAGTGCAAATCACTAGGGCCTTTCATTAAATTAAAATGTATACTTTACATCATCAACTTCTCCTCTACAGAAGCCAGGGCAGTACTTGAATAAAAAATAGATTTATTTCATTCCTCATTTTTATACAAAATCAAGGATAAAATGTAATGTAAAGGTGTCTGAGAATTAAATATACAGGATTTACTGTATTTGCTTTAGGGAAAAGAAAAGTAGTGATACTTAACAGTGAAATCCATCAGTATATAGGTTTTTCTTCTTGGCGGGGTTACCAGGAAAGCTCTGGGCAACTTGATTGCCATTCCCTTGTGGGCCTTTTCACACCTGGTTCTCTGCCAGTGTAGACCTCTACAGTATTAGCTTAAGTACAGTTCAGTAAGGTAAGGGCTCAGCCCTGGCCGGTTTGGCTCAGCGGTAAGAGCGTTGGCCTGCGGTCTGGAGAGACCCAGGTTCGCTTCCTGCTAAGGGCATGTACCTCTGTTGCAGTTTGTCCCCGGTCCTGGTTGGGTCCTGGTTGGGTCCTGGTTCGGTCGTGCGGGTGGTAGCCACTCGATGTGTTTCTTTCGCATTGATGTCTCTCTCTCTCTCTTGCTCTTTCTTCTTCCTGCTCTATCTCAATAAAAAATGAAAAAATGTCCTTGAGTGAGGATAAAGAAAAAAGGGGGCTCCATCGAAAGGGATGACACACTCCGTATTCGGGCATATTTTGGGTTTTTCTAACATTGACTTGGGTTGTACACATCACTGCTTCTTTCCCATACATTTGACCGTCAGGATTAGCCTCTACCGAAAAGGTAACTTAAATTACTTGTCATGATTTCTTGTTATAATCTGACATTTCAGCATCCATTTGTCCATGTATAATTTAAGATATTTAAATGCTTTCAGGAAATCTGTGGACAGAGAAGACTTTGAAAAAGTAATTGCGGACCAAGCCCTCACAGCAGGTAATGAAATTGTTTCAGTATACATAATGAAGAAGTAATTGTACTTACAGAACTAATGTTTTATCTGCAAACTAATATATTCTATTAGTAAAAGATATTTACCCGTAGAACTAACATTTTCACCAAAAATATTTATTTTTGTTAGCTGGTAACTACCAGTGTGAAGTGTTCAACGTTATGTATTGTGTTAACATAAAGAATAACTCTTTTTTATGTTATATAGTTTTGTTTGACCTAAAACATTTCCTCTTCTTACAATGTTTATTTGCTGAGAATTAGATAAGGCTACATGGGAAGCTGACTCATAGACATTTACACGCTTTGGTCTTGAAGTTAACTAAGCGTTCCTTCTTTATGCATAAAAAAACCCTACTGAACAAAGTAAAACAAAGAATGTTTTTAAATAATTTTTTAAAGAAGTTTGAAACAATCATGGGGAAAGGAGTTAACAGTATTCTCATGTTAACAATTAGTTTAGGGAAACAAGTAGATGAGTAACTTTGTTGTACTGTCCTTTTCAAAGTGTGAAAACATGAACCAAGAAGTTGAGTTGTTCTAAGAGTATAAGATATTAAGAATTCAATAATAATAATGAAGCTGATGGTGACTATGGCTAACTTACATTGGACCCTCCTGAGAAGCCAGGTGCTATTCTAAGCATCATCCCCACACATCACGATACTGCTATGAAGAGGGCACTATTATGTTCTTCCTGAGTCATTGATGAAAAAAGATATGGTACACGGATTTTGAGAATAAAGGAGGTTAGGGAAGAAATTGCAGAAAGTAAATGATCTATTCCAAACACATATTCATTAGAGGAACATTAAGCAATAAGAATGCTATTATACTCAGAAAAAAAAAAAAAAATGTCATCTCTAAAGAAAAATGACAAAATTGGGTTTCACAACCAGTCATTTCAAATTAATTCCTGTGTCTGCTGTGTCAAACTTATATGCCTGGAGGTCGTGCCAGGGGGGCAGGACTCTCATCCTGTTACCAAGGTGAGAGAGCTTTTTCTGAAACAGGCCAGATCCTGCAATTCCAATTGCTCTTTCATAGCTAAGTTGATCATTCTTTTCTTTTTAAATAATAATTTGGGGTTTTTATTCATAATTACCAGAATTTTAGTAACTAATCTGTGTAGATAGTTTGAATATATAGGTGGTCAGTTGGGTTGAAATTCTCACTGCCAGATATCAAGGGAATAAAATCATCCAATAAAATAGTGCTCACAGCACAGCTGTACCAAGATGACCCACCTGACATGGCAGAAAATGTGTTATGTGTTTTCAGGAGTTCCCGTGGAGATCATTAACGCATCTCTCGGTGAAGAGGTTTTTAAAATATGTTACGAGGAAGATGAACACATCCTGGGTGTGGTGGGAGGAACCCTCAAGGATTTCTTGAACAGCTTCAGCACCCTTCTCAAGCAAAGCAGCCACTGCCAGGAGGCAGAGAAGAAGGGCAGGCTGGAGGCTGCCTCCATCCTCTGCCTGGATCAAGATCACGATGTCTTAAACGTGTACTACTTCTTCCCGAAGAGGATCACGTCCCTGATTCTGCCGGGCATCATCAAGGCGGCTGCCCACACCTTGTACGAAAGCGAAGTGGATGTGTCCTTGACACCTTCCCGCCTCTGCAACGACGGCAGCGAGTTTGTCAATCAGCCCTATTTGTTATACTCCGTTCATGTCAAAAGCACCAGGCCCTGCCTGTCCCCAGGCAAGCCCCAGTCCTCGCTGGTCATCCCTGCTTCTCTCTTCTGTAAGACGTTTCCGTTCCATTTCATGTTTGACAAAGACATGACGATTCTGCAGTTTGGCAATGGCATCCGGAGGCTGATGAGCAGGAGAGACTTCCAGGGGAAGCCTACGTTTGACGAGTACTTTGAAATTCTGACGCCAAAAATCAACCAAACTTTTAGCGGAATCATGACTATGTTGAATTTGCAGTTTGTGGTCCGAGTGAGGAGATGGGATAACTCTGTGAAGAAGTCTTCAAGGGTAAGAGAAACGTAATGACAGTATTTTGAATGTGACGTCAATTATTGCATAATTAAGGACCAGAGACAAAAATAGGTACAAATCCAAATGCCTCGCTTCAAATGTTTGGATAAAACATTTATATTTAAAACAATTCTAAAACACCTTTAAGGTTGGAATAAATTGAAAACAAGACCCTTTCTGTATGCATTTTTTTCTTTTCTTGATCCTTACTTCACAAATGTTCATTGAATGCAGTCTACCTTTTAAAATCTTCATGAAGTCTTTTGTAACTGAATTATAAAAAATATTTCAAATAGCTGACTTAATTTGGAATAAGGTATTTTTCTACAACAAACAAACAAAAACTGCTTTTTAAAATAGGACCCAGCTAAATGGATTTTAACTCAGCATTTAAAACCTAATAATTTGTTTGGTTAATTTTTAGAGGATGCGGGGGCAAATCTGTCATCTCATGGTAGAGAACTTTGCTAATGATTTAGTCTTAGGCTACAAAGTTTGCTAAGTCATAGCTGATACTACAACAAACCTAATAGAAAGGCTTTTTGATGTGTATCAATTTTAGTCATGCATAACCCAAGCAGACACTGTTTATTCCCAAAAATGAAAACAGCTTTATTAGTTTTGTCATAAAAATTATGTAGCTGAATGTTTAAAAAATTGCAGATACTTAAGGGCATAGAGGGGATAAAAAATGATGAAAAAAATCAAATCAAATAACATTTGAATTAAAAAGTTATTAATGCTTAAAGATGTCCACTGTAGTAAAAAAAAAAAAAAAAAATCAAAGACATTAGTTATGTCCATTTTTGTTTAAAGCAAAAAATATGTATATTATTTATAACTTCCTTTTTATCACCAAACAGTATATTTTGGCCATCCTTCCATATCATTAGATATATGTCTATTTCAGTTTTCAACGGCTGGGTAGTATCTCATTGTAAGGTTGTCCTCTACTTAATTTAAGCATCCTCTATGGAAGGACATTTGGCTTGCCGTTGACTCCTGGCTGCAGTGAACACATGTATACATATCTGTGCACATTCATCCAGTAAATCCCGTGATCCAGGGTGATCACTTGAAGGCTCCCTTGGTGCAGTTGTTTCTGCTGAGCGCTACTATCAAAATAACATTGTCACAGACACAGCAGTGTGCCATTGAGGCAGCCTTGAAGGAGGAATTTTTTGGACTGCTTATTGAGCATTATGATTTATGTGTAGAGTGTACTCTTCAAGTGTCTGCGCACATTTTAGAACTCATAATAAATTGGAACTGTAAGAAAGCATATTGTTCTTGGTCAGCACGTAGAAAGAAGTCCAATACAAAGGGACTATCACCGCATCTGCTTCCTCTCCTTTTGTCTTCAAAAGGTGTTGGAAACTTGAATAAACCACAGCGACTGGTTCTCCTTTGCTTCACAGGTTATGGACCTCAAAGGCCAAATGATCTACATCATTGAGTCAAGTGCGATCTTGTTCTTGGGGTCCCCCTGTGTAGATAGATTAGAAGATTTCACAGGAAGAGGCCTCTACCTCTCAGACATCCCGATTCACAACGCGCTGAGGGACGTGGTCTTGATAGGAGAGCAGGCCAGAGCTCAGGATGGCCTTAAGAAGAGGCTGGGAAAACTGAAGGCCACCCTTGAGCAAGCCCACCAGGCCCTGGAGGAGGAGAAGAAGAAGACTGTCGATCTTCTGTGCTCCATATTTCCCTGCGAGGTGGCGCAGCAGCTGTGGCAAGGGCAGGTGGTGCAGGCGAAGAAGTTCAGTAACGTCACCATGCTTTTCTCGGACATTGTTGGGTTCACCGCCATCTGCTCCCAGTGCTCGCCGCTGCAGGTCATCACCATGCTCAACGCGCTCTACACGCGCTTCGACCAGCAGTGCGGAGAGCTGGATGTCTACAAGGTAGGGATGGAGCGGGGCAATGCCCATTTTCCAGGCAGAGATCACTGAGCAAACCACTGCAACTAGGATCTGAGTTACAATGCAAAGGAAAGGCTGTCTCTGCAGGGCCATCCCGGGAGCAGGCATCGTGTGTTAATCACATGGTGTTCCCCAGCCAGAAATAGCTCTGAATCTGAGCAGAAGCAGAAATAATGATTCCACGCAAAGACTGCCACATTGTCTTCTCGAATAATAGGCATAGAATGGGGAATGATAGGCTGAGTGGAGGGTAGGGTGTGGGACCCATGAACAGGTAACGTTTAGAAGTCGGTGAATATGACGTTGGACTGTGGAAACAGTTGAGTTATTAAGCATGATATAATTCAAAGTGTGGCTTGTACAGGGAAAACGTATCCTTTGTACCTGTAAAAGTAAAGAAACATGAGGATTAGACAAATCGTATTTATTTAAATAGATTAATTCAATTCAGAGTTAACATGATACTTTTTATGGCAATTAACAGAAATCCAAATTACCTACCTTTGGCTTTATTGTAGAGAGGTCGAAAAAAGAGATACCTGAATAAGAGCCCTGTCTTCAAATCTTGTCTTCACCTGATATATGTCATTTCTGAAACAGAGAACATATTACCCACCCAAACAATTTATATGCATAATCTTTATGAACAGGATTGTTATAAATATTATGGTAAATAGTACCTGTTATTCATCAGGCAGAAGGATTTTTTTTTCCATTGATTTTTAGAGAGAGTAGAAGGGGGTGGAGAGAGAGAGAAACATCAGTGTGAGAAAGACACATCAGTTGGTTGCCTCCTGCACGCACCCCAACCAGGTCTGAAGATCGAACCTGCAACTCAGGTATGTGCCTTTGACTGGGAATTGAACCCAAGACCCTTTGGTCCAAGGGCTGGTGCTCTGACCACTGACCACACCGACCAGTGTGCAACAGGGTTTTTTGAGTGCTGAGAACGTATCAGGCATCATGCTAGGCACTGAGGGTGCACAGTGATTGTCCCCAACATATAATAAGCTATATTTTTAATGTTGCTATTACCAAATAAGAGAACTAATAAAGAGATTTCATGTTCCGTTGTTGCTTTGTAGAAGTCAAACATATATATATTTTTTACTGATGTAAAGTATTTTGAATTGTTTTAGGCATCAACATTAAGAACAGAGCATGATTGTCATTTGTGTGGCTTGAAATCAACTCTTAATTTGCCACATAACAATCTGGCATTTCAGAACTTAGCCCAACACAAAATAGATAAATGATTGAGGAGAAAACAAACCTTATTTATGGGAATATATAAGCCCTTGCTTTTTTGTTGTTGTTGTTGTTGAAAGTATTACAGATGTCCCCCTTTTATCCCCATTGACCTCCTCCTTTCCGCTCCCACCCCGCTCCTGCCTTCCCTAGCTTCGATGCTAGAAGTAAAAGAAAACTTCCTTTTTAAAATTTCTAACAGGAAATTCCAAACAGAGCTCTGATCCCTTGGGACAAAAATAGGTCCATGGATAATTACAGATAAAATAATTGGCTTTGGTTAGGTTAAGCTTGATGGCCTCTTGTGGAATCTACTGTATTTATTTGTAGACAGTTTCTATCTTAAGAATGTCTCCTCTCTCAGAACTGTGAGAAGAAAGTCCTGTTGTTTTTTTGCAGACTACTGTGATTGATAGCAGAAGAAGTAGCCCTCTTCTTCAAGTTTCAGCATAGTGAAACTTGAAAAAAAAAATTGGTTATTTTTATCAAGGATTTTGAATCTACCTTCCTTACTACAAGGATGGTAGCCACAGAGTTCCCTGATTTACCCCCTGCAGCCCTAGCTAATCAGTCACCCTCTTTACCTGTTTTTATGTCTTCCTTCTCTCCACTTGTGATTTTTCATAAAAATACCTGGAAATAGTTATAAATAAATAAGGGAGGGTCCTAACCATTAAATAAATTTAAGATACACAGAATGTATAATCAGCCCTGGTTGGTTTGGCTCAGTGATTATAGCATCTGCCTGTGAACCAAAGAGTCATGGGTTCGATTCCGGCCAAGGGCACTTACCTTGGTTGCGGTTTGTCCCCGGCCCTGGTCAGGGTCGTGCAGGAGGCAACCAGTCAATGTGTTCCTCTTACATTGATGTTTCTCTCTCTCTCTCCCTCTCCCTCTCCCCCTCCCCCTCCCCCTCCCTCTCCCTCTCCCTTCTCCCCTCTCCCCTCTCCTACCATATCTGAAGATATTTGAGAAAATATCCTTGGGTGAGGATTAAAAAAAAGAGAGAATGTATAATCATAGGCTGACCTACGAGTGTTATGGCTTCCAAATAATAGTCAAGTTTATTTATTCAGGGATCTGATCATACCAGGACTTCATTTAATTTTATTTTTCATCTTTCAATCTTTTGGCCATATTTTTGTGTTAGTATTCATTTATCCATTGTTTTAGCAAATATTTACTGGTTATCCAGCATTGTCCTGCATGGGTGGGCACAATCCCTGTGAGAAGAGTTGACGTGTGTCAGGGAGAGATGGGGCTGAATTGACAAATGCTGGATTTCCATCTGACAAGACGGAAAGTCGCTCAAGTTCTGTACAGGTGCTACGATAGCACAGAGACTAGGCAGGAATGAGGGCAACACTTCTCCTAACTAGTAACATTTACTGAGCACTTGTGATATGTTAGCCTTTCTGTTAAGCACTTACGTATTCACTGCCGAGGAAAAGCTTAGGGGAGACATTGTTGCCGGGTTCATTCACTGGTGAATGTACCAGGCACTGGTGATATAGGAGTTCATAAAATAGACAAACTCAGAGCTTATGTTCTACTGGGGAAAACAATAAACAAATGAGTAAACAGAGTATTTCATGTGGTGTAATATTTTGGAGGAAAAATAAAGCAAGTGAAAGGGGAGAAATGGAGAGGTGATTGCTATTCCTTAGAGGGTGCCATTTCTCATAAAATGATGTTTTGTTTTGTTTTTTAAAAAAAAAATCATTGATTTAAGAGAGAGAGGAAGGGAGAGGGAGAGAGAGATAGAAACATCTATGAGCTGCAACATCGACTGGCTGCCTCCTGCATGCCCCCCACTGGGGATCAGGCCCACAACCTGGGCATGTGCCCTGACCAAGAATCAAACTGGCAACCTCTTGGTGCACTGAGCCACACCAGCTGGGCATAAGATGATGTTTTATAGGAGCTAAAGGAAGTAAGGGACAAACCAAGTGGTTATCTGCAGAAAAATTGTTCCAGGCAAAGGAATAGCAAGTGGGAGCATGTTTGGTATGTTTGAGAGAAAACAGGGGAGGCCAGTGGCATTTAGACAAAGCGAACAAGAGGGAGAATTAACAGATAAAGACAGGAATTAGCAAGAAAGCAAGTCAAGAAGAACTTTGGGTACGTTATAAGGGTTTTGGCATTTATTCTGTGTGAAATGGGAAATTACTAGAGGTTTACGTCTCTTTTTTCTTCTCTCAGTGGAAGCTTTGGATAAGAAGAATGAGATGATCTGATAAGTTACAGTAAACATTTAGAGGAGGAGAAAAATGCAACTATTACAGTTTGGTGGTTTTACATTAATTGGTAGCTTTTCGTAGCCAGAACACCAAGATTGGTACTTTATGATTCTTAGCTTCTGCTACATGTTATAGGCTGTGATTCTTCCTGAGCTGTTATTTGTAATACGGAAAATCTATTGTGTGTAGGTGGAGACCATTGGCGATGCCTATTGTGTGGCTGGGGGCTTGCACAGAGAAAGCGATACCCATGCTGTTCAGATAGCGCTGATGGCCCTGAAGATGATGGAGCTCTCTGATGAAGTCATGTCTCCCCATGGAGAACCTATCAAGGTAAAGTGGATCATATACTGTCCAGGAAATGAGAGTAATGCTTATTTGTTAGCTATTAAAAGAATGATGTGTCAGTCGGGGTTTCGTTGCAGAAAGCAAACTCTCTCACTTGTTGAAGCAGGAAGAAATGTACCGCATGGTATTAAACAGTTTACAGAGTCATTGAGAAGACCAAAGAAGATATCTATAAGTTGAGTTTTTTAAAAAAAGGCTCCCAGCCAAGCCTGTGTGGCTCAGTGGTTGAGCATCAACCCATATGCTGAGAGGTCACCAGTTCGATTCAGGGCACATGCCCAGGTTGTGGGCCCAATCCTCAGTGGGGGACATGCAGGAGGTGGCCAATCCATGTTTTCTTTCATTGATGTTTCTATCTCTCTCTCCTTCTCTCTTCCTCTCTCTCTTAATTAATAAAGGGGGGGGGGGGAGGCTCCCAAAGCCACATTTCAGAACCACTACTTTATCCTTGGCCAGGAAGCCGGCTTCAGAACTATACCACCATAGCCACAGTCAGGAAACTGTGTTCCAAAAGCTGCTGCCTCTGCTCCCGGCCACAGAACAAAACTGCATGCACTCGACTTGAATCAGCATCATGGCCCTCACAAAATGAGCAACTGGCAACTGGGTGCTCCAGGAATCATGCCCCAGAAAACCCAAAGGCATTCCCAGGAATGCTCACACTCCTGAACATGAGAAGTGCAGTCACCGCAGAAATCCTGGCTTCCAAATCTCTCGCACGTGAATCTGAGTCACCCAACCTAAAGGCAACTAGGAACTGCCATGGAGTTTGGAAAACGAAATGTTCCCTTTTCCAGTACCTGCAGGGGAGGACGTTACAGTAGAATGAATGTCTGTTGATCCACCAATATTTTCCAGGACACATAACATTCTAAAATGTCTAGATGAGTCAGATTCCAGAATAATATCTTATTGCAGATGAGAAAATAAAGTTAGCACGCTAGGCATTGGTTTAATAGGCAGGACATGAGCAGATTATCTTTACCTGTGGCACTGTAGCCAATCTGCCACTTAATTTTTACAGAACAGACCTCAGTTGATGACTCAGAAATGAGCCTTTGAGGTGACATAGAATCCTATCTGATACACTTTAAGATATGTAGAGAAGAAAGAAAAAACTATAATATTTAGCAGTTTAGTCTCAGCTCTCTTCAATGTTAATAGACAGCATATATATCAGTCATCATATTGGTTTTCCAAGTCGACTCTCCTCACAGTTATTCATAATTGTGTGACACACTTTCGTATATTTAGTGCTAATAAAAATACAAACCATCTGTAATGCATGGATTCTGTATATCAGTAAGTAGATAGGCATAGCAGGGTTACCTCATCTCTGCTCGCATTATCTGGTACCTCAGCTGGGAAAATTCAAATGCTTGATGGCACTTGTAACAGTTGGCTGTACCACGTGGAGCTGGAGGACCCATTCCACGATGGGCGCTTCACTTCCATGCCTGGTTCCTCGTGGAGATGGCTGAAAGGTTGGGCTCTGCTTGGACTGTCAGTCCATGTGCTTACATGTGATGTAGACTCACACTTCTTACACGGTGGCCTATGTCCCAGGGAACAAGATTGGGGGAAGGTGCACAGCCTTTTATGACCTAGCCTTAGGAGACACACAGTGATGTTTCCACTGTGTTCTGTTGGTCAAGGCAAGCATCAGCCTACCCAGAGGGGAGGAGATGGATTCCATGTCTCAGTGCAGACAGTGTGAAATAAGGTGTGACTGTTTTAAAAACATCACAGCATCTGACTTTTTCAGACTTAATTTTTGTAATTGTACTTTTTTAAAAGGAGAATTATATTTCTCTCTCTCTCTCTCTCTCTCTCTCTCTCTCTCTCTCTCTCCCTTTCCTTGCTCTCTAAAACCAATAAGTATATCCTCCAGTGCAAATAAATAATAAGAAGCCAATCCTGCATCTTACAGATGAAGATATAATTAGAGGGAAATAAAGAGACTTACAAAAAGTCAGACTCCCCATTTTAGTAGAACTCGGTTTAGAATGCAAATCTCATGAATCATATAGATTGCTTTTGTTTGAAAATTTTGCAGAATTAACAATTTGACATCTTGTAAATAAATAATTTGGGAAAGTTTCCAGCAGATATTAGAAATGAGCTATAAAACAAGACAGAACTCAAGTCTTATGAATTCTCCATTATACCTTAGTTACTGAGTACTTGGCCTTTGTTTAAAATTCATATATCTAATACAACTTATTTTTAAGTTGTCAAATGAACATGAATTGGAAAATAATAAACATGGCCTTTGTCATTTTAAATATTCCCACTTTAACTTGCTTTGTTGTAGCAGTAAGACTTAGTGCATCTCTGAGATCATCAAATATTCAGATCTTCTAGAAGATCCTAGTTTAAAACATTCTGTCCCAAGAGCTCTCTGAATCACTGAGAACCTTCAGAGTTCCTAAGCTTCCGCTCCGCCATATCCCAGACTGCATCTTATACCTAGATATGGTGCAATGATGGTTTTCCACGAACCCAGATGTTTTAAACCACAGTGAATATAGTCACTATAATCTGGGCCTCAGCAACTGCTTCCTGTTCCCTCTGTTATTTTTTACTTAAATATTGCAATTCCTTTCCTCGAGTTGTTAATCGTTTGAATAGTGGAGTCGTGTTTGGCATAAAGTTCATTTAAAGCAACATTCCCCCAATCATACATTTTATACAATGAGAACTAGCTACTTTTGCCCAACCTGACACTGTTTTGGGAAACAACTGCTGTAGTCCAGGAGGTATGTCAATCATCCTCACTTGATAGACAGAGCAGGTTCACACAAAGAGCCCATAGACTCTGTCTTGTCACTGTGGTGACTGTGATAGGTATGCATGGAAATTTGTCACAGATACTGAAGAGAGGTGAAATAACAGTGCTTTGTGCAATTAACCTAATTGCATAAACGGAGAAGAGTTCCTTTTTAGTCAACTGTGAGGAGCAGAGAGAAGTTGGTGGAGGTTTTGAGGAAAGAGAGAACAGTGTGGTGGGAGCGATCAGTACAATAATTGAGACAGAGCATCAGACACCACTGACAAGTGAGAAGTGTTTTACCGACAACCAGGAACACGGCGGTGCCTTTTTGCTTTCAGATGCGAATCGGACTGCACTCTGGGTCGGTGTTTGCTGGAGTCGTCGGAGTGAAAATGCCGCGTTACTGTCTTTTTGGAAACAATGTCACCTTGGCTAACAAATTTGAGTCCTGCAGTGTACCACGGAAAATCAACGTCAGCCCCACAACGTACAGGTACTGATTGCACTGATCACCCGAAATCTGTCATTTTACTGTTTTATTGGGGGAAGTGGTATCTGGTCGAGAGAGAGTATACATAATTGTCTACCCAGTGTAGACATTGGCACTGCGACTTTTGCTGCTGTTCTTGGATCTTATTGCCACCAAGCTTACAATGGTTTCATTTCCAATCTTTTTTTCTTATAAATATTTATCCCTTTTTTGAAGATGAGGTAATGAACATTTCTCACTCCATGAGACTCTTAGTTTATTTGTAACTTTTTTAAAAAGCTTGGGATTTGTATTCAGAAGACATGTCTTACAGGTTCCAAATACAGGGCTTACCTGATGTGTGATCCTGAGCAAAGCACTTAATGAATTCAAGTGGCATAAAGGTTATGATTTTAATGACCATATTAATAGGAGATGTTGGGCTAATGTGGACAGAAAAAATATTTTTTAAATTTACAATTCACCTATAGTTTTATACATTTTTATTTATTTATTTATTTATTAAACCCTTACAGATATATATATATATATATATATATATATATATATATATATGGAGAGAGAGAGAGAGAGAGATTTTACACTTAATTTTTAAACATTTCAAGCAATATAGAAAATGGAATCAAAGAAAATATGATACCCATGTAACCAATACTAACACTTAACAAATGTCAAGATTTTGCCACATTTGTTTCAGATCCCTGTTTTATGAAAGAAATAAAATATTACAAGCCTCTGGCCCCTGTTTTCTGTCTGACACACTGGGCGTTCTCTCCCTTAAGGTTTATAGGAATATCTGAGAATATGTATTTCCTGACAGGTAGGCTCCCAAAGAGAGAGGCAGGAAGGCACTGAGTACAGCAAAGATGTATGTTGCCTTTGTTTACCAGGAAATTAGATGGGCAGAAAGAGGCCAGGAGTATAACCCTCATCATTTAGGTTGCTCCTGATGAAAAAAAAATGAAGTCAGAGAAAAATAGATTTTCACTGAAACTATTCATTCTTTTTACAATTTGCCTTGAATCCACTCAACATTATGCTTTTGAGATTTAATTTTCTTGATGAAATATAAATCTTGTTCCTATAAATCTAATTCATTTATTCAAGCTATTTCTAATGCAGTGGTGCGCCAGTAAACCAGCTTTGGGGAGCAAAGTGGAGAATCCCTGATTTCTAGCATTTACCAATTTCTATGGTGTAAACACTCCCCCCTTGGTGGGTTTCAGGGCCGAGATGGTTTGCAAAATTCCTGAATGTTTAATGGTTCACTCTGATGAGCAAGTGCAAGCCAGATCAATCATGTCACTATATGTGCCTGTGATAGATTATGTATTCTAGAGTATGAATAAGTCGGAATCTTTCTTCTAACCATGATTAACTAGAGTGTATCAGTTTTTTATTATTATAAAAGTGACTTGATAAATATTCTTATACATATAATTATACCTATAAATGGTATTCCCAGATCACAAACTATACCCAGTTTCAACTTTACCAAGCTGTCCAAATTGCTTTTACCTATTTGCTTTCCACCAATGGCATATAAAGGTTTCTCTTCCCCACAGTCTGATATTATCAGACTAATTAGTTGTTAGCAATATGATGGGTATTAGGTAATATTTGATTGATATTTGATCAGTCTTTTGTAATTGATTTATTTAATTTTCACAACTGTCCTAGAAATGTGTACCACTATCCCCATTTCCAAAGGTTAGAAATCTGACATCTTTGTTGCCATTCAAAACTAAATCAACCAGAGTTTGAAGCTTATACTTTTGTTATGGGATTCTGTAGCTTTTCATTATATATTACCAAATATCATGCCTTATAAATACCAGGCGAAAAATACGTATGAATTCATGACTAAAGCATCATTTTTATTAGTTTTATTATTTTGCAGTTTACATATTTGTGGGTACACTGATAGAAATTAGTTAATAGAAGACTCACACGTTGTATTCTACTCCAGGTCTGTCTTTCTTGAGACCCGAATTTCTACTCAGTTGATTTCTTCAGTGTAAAGAAGAATGCCATAGTACCGAACTCTAACGTAGCACCATCATGCTATTTTATTTAGACGTGGCGTTGCAGGCTGGCGAGTAGAAGGCCGTGATCTGTGCACACATGTGATGAGTAATTTCTCTAGGAGTTGCTTTATATCCCAGAACTAGTCAACATTTTTCATCGATGGCCTAAATAATAGATCAGAGAGATGCTTATTAAGTTAGCACTTGACAGAAAGCTAGGGAAGCAAATAAGAAGAGCCAGTAACTTAATCAATAGGATCGGAATTTAAAATGAGTTTAGCATAATGGAGAAGTGGTTAGTAGCAAATTAAAAAAAAAAAAAAAAAATGAGCAGAACAAATAAATTGAAGAAGGAAAAATATCACAAATACCAGAGAGAAAGTAGAGTATCAATATGTACAATTAAATCTCATTTTAGTCCTATAAGTCTCGACTTTGTAAAAAGTTATTCTTATAGTATTTTATATATATGCATATAGCTTATGTAGAACTTTCTCTTTACAACTTCTTGCCCATGATTACGTCTCAGTAATATTTTTTTTTTATCTTCATCCGAGGACATTTTTCCATTTTTTGTTCAGATAGAGTGGGAGGGAGAAAGAGAGAGAGAGAAACATCGACGTGAAAGGGACACATCAAGTGGTTGCCACCCTCACAACCCCAACTGGGGCTGGGGACAAACTGCAACCAAGGTACGTGTCCTTAGCGAGAACCGAACCCGGGTCTCTCTGAACCGCAGGCCGACGCTCTAACAGCTGAGCCAAACCGGCCAGAGCTCTCAGTAATACTTACAAAATGAATGAATTGATAAATGGACAATGTTTGAACTCTTTCCCCTTAGGAAGCTTTATTCTATAACATTATATTTATGTTTGCTTGTTTCTTTGCTTTTATGAGACCTTTGGATTATTTGCATTTCCCTCCCCCACTACTATGAATTATACTGTTATACAGATTATATATTATATCTTTGCAAAAATATTTTATAATTAATTTTTTTCTGAGTCAAATGCATTATTTGGTAGAATTTTCTTGTTATTGTGAATTGCTTTTCCATTGTTTTTCTTTGGCAAAGATGTCTGTTTGCATCATTAGGAGCTGTCAATCACAGTGAAAATGGTTTATTAATATTTTGAGGAATATTCATTTAGTTATATTGTCTTTTCTTAAGTAAACAGTTCTGTCAATATGACATTTTATAACAATCTTTTTATTTCAATCTTTCAGATTGCTCAAACACTGTCCTGGTTTTGTGTTTACCCCACGATCAAGGGAGGAACTTCCACCAAACTTCCCCAGTGAAATTCCTGGAATCTGTCATTTTCTGGAAGCTTATCAACAAGGAACAAATTCAAAACCATGGTTCCAAAAGAAAGATGTTGAAGATGGCAATGCCAACTTTCTAGGCAAAGCATCGGGAATAGATTAGCAAAATATGTACCTGATGTCAGCCTTTGGGGCGTGACCCCTTTGAGCGTCTGTGGAATCTCTGAAAGCACTTTAGCATGCAGGTGGTTAAGAAGCAGTATTAAAATTCAGGAGTAAGTCTCGATCTACTTATTCTTCCACTTAACATGACAAAAATGTATTCACTTCAATACTTCAGCTCTTCAGTGAAAATAAAAAAGAAACCTCTAAAAGTGACTTTTAGGGGCGATTTCTGTTATATAACAATCACTTATTGTTTGTATTCAAAATTTAGCACATTGTACCTATATCAGGTAATTGTAGCAACCTGTGCAATGTGATGGAGTCACTTGCAATCTTGTGTCCTGGTGGAATGCCATGGTTATTAAACTGTGTTTGTGATAGCATTGCTTTATAAAAGCTTTTGGATAGAACGTATAGTCTTCGATACCGTAAGCCCTTTGAACCTTTCAACTATGAATTTTTTTCCATTTTCTCATTTAATTTTTAGCATATATAACAAAATAGATTGAGGTTTGGTTTTCATTATTTTTTTCTGTTGCACTTTTTTTTCCCTATTTTTAAGAAAATAAACAATTATGGGTTAGATGCAATATGAATATAAAATAGGTCTTCTGTAAATATCAAAGATGATTTTATAAAAATATTCTCCATAACATAAGTTGTCATTAACAATAAATGTTTCCTTTCGTTTGACATATTTTTTTCCACATATGGTAAAGGCTATTTTAATTCCTATTAGCAATTTAATGCCTATTAATTTATTTCTATGTTATAGTATTATTCAGGATAAAAGAGGCTTATAGGCTATATTAAAATGCAATAATATCATTCTGACTTAATTTAACCAAAAGCAACATGGAAATAAAGTAGGCATTTAGGGAACATACCATAAAGTACAGAAATAAAATATTTACACACACACACACACGGAGTAATTTGGGTCTATTTCAGCAGACATACTCTATTGCCGTGCTGAGCCATATAAAATTCCAATAAGAAAATCAAAATTCAGAAGTGGGAAATAAGACTTGTTCTTTTTCTGACAGTGAATTTTTTACTATTTGTGTTGAATATTTTAGTGTGTGTATATTTCCTAAGAATCATCAGGGTTTTATTTTGTGTGTGTGTGTCTCATTAAGTACACATCTGTGAATGTTTTATTCTAGTTGAAATATCTCAATGATATTGTTTAAAGAGAATATTAGTGTTGATGAAGAAGATTGTGCTGTGACTTTATGGAAAATTTTAAACATTTTTCTGGAGCTTGAACTTTAATTTTTAATGATGTTAGTCTAAGATCTCTAGTGAACTAAACCTAAATAAGGCTTTGATTTTAAAAGAGCTCAACTTCAAAGCAAGAGAGATGAACATTATAATTTTAAAATCACTATTAGCAGAGCCATAGATACCCTGAACTCTTATGTGGGGTTCTAAAAAAATAATTCAATTTAAAAGTTATTTAATTATCTTCAGTAGTCCCCAGGCTATTCTATGACCTCAGGAATAAAAAGTAATCACTGATTGGCCTTTAATATCCCATGTGTACTATAGATATTACAATGATTATTAACTATGTCATATGCAATATCTTGAAGAACTGAATGTGTGTCATTAAACACCAATCCTAAACACCTTCCGAAAATACCATGGGTGTCTGGAAACTGTAGTTACAATATCATAATTATATGAAGTTAATAAAAACACTTAAAGACAAATACATTTTTATTTCTGTAATTGAACCCTTATCAGAGGGAAAATAATAGGAATGAAAGGAAATTAACATAAAATAAAATATTTTATAAAAATATTTAAGCAGGCCCCAGTTTGGTAATAATTTGTTTTCTTAAGTTTTTAAGTTAATTAGAATTCAAAAAAATGTTTGTTTGTTTTTCTCCTGTGTGTATTTGTGTATGTGAGTTTACACTCAAAACCCATAGAGGAAGATATAAACAATCTGAGGAAAAGCTATATGAGAATTCCTTGTACAAACCTTTCTGTATGTTTGACATTTTATCTAAATAAAACGTCAGCCAACAGGTATTTTTCCCAGAGAAATGAAATAATCTGTGACAGCTTCCCCAGGCTAGCCTACAAAGGCTCACCGATTATGGAATACTTGGTGGACCTTAAGCAAGATGAACATACAGCATTTCCATGACAGAATGCATTCAAAACCCACAACTGGATGCTAAAATCTTTAAGGAATTCTCATTCCCTCTTCATCTTACTCAATTTGGAGGACAGGGGTTATGGATACATTTTCAGATCTACACCACTGATGGTAGCCAGGGGCAGAGAACCTGGAAGTTCTCAAGGAAACAAAGGAGTGGAATAAGGGCTCTGTTTTAGGAGTGGAATGAAGGGTGGAGAAAAGAGTGGACAGAGAGGGCCTATGGTGGGGTTGGGGGCTAAGAACTGTGAATCTTGTTGCCAGATTAACTATCCTAAAAAATAACGTGGGCTCCCAAGACTGTGTTCCTATCAGATTGCTTTTCCTGAGAATTCCACAAGCAGTTTCTTCTGTTCTGATTTTATTATTTTCATGTATGGCTTCTTGCCCCATTATTTTGTGTCCAGTACACAAAATAAATTTGCTCGTTATACCTATTTCTCAAGCAAGCATAGAATTCTGTGGATGTTTTCTAAAGCTATGTGCATCACGAAGCAAAGTAATAGAGGTAAAAAGTCTCTTTCCTTTATTTCTCATCTTTTTATTTCCATCTAGACTTTGTAAGAAAAGGCAAAGTTTGAACCTAAATGCAAATAGATCCACTTACTAATTTTCATTTGTTCAATCATCATTTCTTGAGTGATTATTATGTGCCAGGAATAATGCTGTTTTCAGAATTCAAAGACAAAGGATGGCCCATTCTATCAAGAAAGAAAAATTTTAAAATGAACATATAAATAATTTTAAAATTTTGTGGGAGCACAAAGCAGGAGACTCAGTGCTTGGAGGAGTATTTTGGTCTTAGAGGAGTAGATCAAGCAGAGGAGGAAGGACTTGGTCCAAGCAAATAAGCAAGCACAGACAGAAAAAAAAAAGGAGTCTTGGCCCTGGCCAATGTGGCTCGGTTGGTTGGAACGTCATCCCTTATAGTGAAATGTTGATTGTCCAATTCCTGGTCAGGGCATAGGCCATGGTTTTGTGCTTGATCCTTGTAAGGGGACATGCAGAAAGCATCCAATTGATGTTTCTCTCTCTCCCTCTCCCATCTTCTCTCTCTCTCTCAATATATATATATATATATATATATATATATATATATATATATATTTAAACATGGAGTCTTGGAGATGCATAACATCTGGATGGCAAGTTGTTGCCTGGTATGAGTTAGCAGTGAGGAGAATAAGGACAGAAAGACACTTTTAGATACAAATCTGAAGAGGGCTGTTTTTCATGTTAAGATGTGTGACTTCGATGATGATGATGATGGTTGATCATCATTATTATGAATTTCCATGGAGCCCTTCATTCAAAACAAATCTTATAAAAGAAAGAAGCAAAACAGGAAAATAAGCAGATCGCTGGCTTCTGCCTCTCTCCCCAACAGTTTTAAAACTAGTAGGCAAGGGAGACAACAAATGTTAAAAGAAGAAAAGGTATGATCATATGTGTGTGTTTTTTTGGGGTTTTTTTTTGTTTTATCCTCGCCCGAGGACATTTTTCCATTTTTTGTTCAGATAGAGCGGGAGGGAGAGAGAGGAAGAGAGAGAGAGAGAGAGAAACATTGACGTGAAGGGACACATCTAGTGGCTGCCACCCGCATGACCAACCAGGGCCGGGGACAAACTGCAACCGAAGTACGTGCCCTTAGCGGGAACCGAACCCAGGTCTCTCTGTACCGCAGGCCAACGCTCCAACCGCTGAGCCAAACCGGCCAGGGCCATATGTGTGTTTTTAAAAAGCAGTGTAAGAAACAGCATGGCTAAGGGTGAATATTTACTTGCACAGATGACCAAATGAATATTCTTCTATATCTCAGGAGAAAATGATTCATGCTCTATCCTGGGTATTTTACCCAGAGTATGAACATAAAGCTGGGATGTCGGACATTGGAGTTTCACATTGCTCTCAAGTCCTTCATATCCTTCACTGGGAAGGAAGAAATGTTGCTTTAGCATTTTACTAACCTTTCCTTCAAATTCTTCTCTGTGATATCAGTCACGCCAAGGCAGACCCTTCCAGGCCTGTCCTATGGTTAAGTTAGAAGCTGTCCTAGGACGAAACGCAGTGTTCTGTGAAGGGCCTAGCAAGAAAAAGAGACTGTGTTTCATATAGCTCTGGAGACAGACTTGGCCCCCTGAGATTCCCTCACTGGGTAGGTGCCCAACTGGAGCTCTACATACAAAGCCCAAAGGAACTCCAGGGCTATTTAATGCTTGAAAGCCACATTCAAGTCCCTATTAAAGCAACAGTTAATAGCCTCAAAGAGAATGAGTTAATGATTTATTATAGTAGTTTGGAGTGTATGGATTTTACCTGGAGAAATCATTATTAATAACAAAAAAGGAATCTCTTTGATACACCGTGTTGGGGTGGCTTGCTAGATCACTGCCCTTCACTGAACACTAAAACACAAAGGTTTGTTTTGCCCGGGTGTGCACTTTGATGCTGTGTCACTCTTAAAGAGTTGTACTTTGCAAAGTTAAATAAAGGCAGATTTGAAGGGTGGAACGATGGAGGTATATGACGGGGCAGGTGGGAGGCCAGTCCTTCGAGAGGGATAGACCAGAGGTGTTGCAATTCCTGTAAAGAAGGACTAGTCTACAGAACAAAAACTCAGTGCTGTGGAGATGATAGAAAAATGCAGTTCCCTCCTGTAAACACAGGCTGAAAGAGGGACAGCTTGCTTTATTTAGCAGAGAACCTCCAAATGCAATTTTAAACCGAGGTTTACAGTGTTGCAATGTGCGTTCTTTGTTGGGATTCTTCTCAGCTCCTGAGAAATCTCGGTATCTTGTAGTGAGAGGTGGAAGAATCCATCCCGCTGTGAAAGCCAGGAGCTTGAGATGCATTTAGTCCCTTGTCCTCTTTGTTGCCTTGAGGACTCTTCTCTCTGAATGTTTGCTTCCAGATGTTCTATACAGTGTGAGTCCCTTTTAAATACTTCTTTTATTATGCTGATGATGTGCTCGCCTTTGGTATTTTACTGTAAGCCACTTGAAACATTTTGCA